CATCATGATCAAGTTGGCTTTATTCCAGAGATGCAGGGATGGCAATATATGTAAGTCAATAAACATCATAAATCATATAAATGGACCCAAAGAAAAGAACCACATGGATATCTCAATAGATGCAGAGAAGACCTTTGACAAAATTCAACATGCATTTCTTTTCAAAGCCCTAGAGGGAATTGGACTGGAGGGAACATACCTCAACATAATTAAAGCCATATACAACAAACCCACAGCCAACGTCATTCTAAATGGAGAAAACCTGGAAGATTAAAATCATCCCACTAAAATCAGGAACCAGGCAAGGCTGTCTATTATTGCCATTCCTTTTTTTAACATAGTGCTTGAAACTCTTGCAAGAGCAATAAGACAAGAGCAGGAAATTAAAGGAGTAATAACTGGAAAAGAAGAGATCAAATCATCCCTTTTTGCAGACGATATATTATACCTAAGAGACGTCAAAAATTCCACAAGAAAACTCCTAGAAATTATTAACATGTTTAATAAAGTGACAAATTACAAAATTAATCCACAAAAGTCTATAGACTTTTTATATACCAATAATAAGCAATCAGAGGAAGAATATATGGAAACACTCCCCTCACAGTATCTGCAAGAAAAAAAAATTGGAATAAACCTGACCAAAGACATTAAAGATCTCTAAAATGAAAATTTTAAATCATTAAAGAAAGAGCTAGAGGAAGACATCAGAAGATGGAAGGACCTCCATGCTCATGGACTAGAAGAATTAATATTGTGAAAATGACCATCCTACCAAAAGCCATTTACAGATTCAATGAAATGCCAATCAAAATCCCCATGACATTCTTCATAGAGCTGGAAAAAACCGTCCCAAGATTCATATGGAAGCACAAAATACCTCGGATAGCCAAAGCAACCCTGAGCACTAAGAGCAATGCTGGGGGGATTACTATACCAGACTTTAAACTGTGTTACAGAGATATAGTCATAAAAACAACATGATACTGACAGAAAAATAGACTCGTAGATCAATGAAACAAAACGGAAGACCCAAATATGAATACACGCAATTTCAGCCACCTGATATTTGACAAAGGGGCCAAGAACATTCACTGGAGGAAAGACAGCATGTTCAGGAAATGGTGCTGGAAAAACTGGATCTCCACCTGCAGAAGAATGAAACTAAACCCCTATCTTTCACTTTGCACAAAAGTCAACTCCAAATGGATCAAAGACCTCAATGTGAAGCCTGAAACTCTGAAACTGTTAGAAGAAAACATTGGCAATAACCTACAAGATATAGGTGTAGGAAAGGATTTTCTAAACCGGACATCAATTGCTCAGGAACCAAGGTCAAGAATCAACAAATGGGACCTCATTAAACTAAAAAGCTTCTGTACATCAAAAGAATCAACCAAGGAAGTGAAGAGAAAACCCACAGAATAGGAGAAAATCTTGACCAGCGACACATCCAACAGAGGTTTAATAAACAGAATATATAACAAACTCAAAAAACAGAGAACCAAGAAAAGAAGCAACCCAATTAATAGATGGGCTAAGGAGCTGAACAGAGTTCTCAAAAGGAGAAGTAAAGATGGCTATGAAGCATCTTAAAATATTTAAGAAGCACCTTAAAAAGTGCTCAACATCCTTAGCAATTAGAGGAATGCAGATAAAAACAACTTTAAGTTTCTATCTTATCCCAGTCAGACCAGATTAAGATCAAGAGAATGAAAGACTCCAAATCCTGGAAAGGATGTGGAGAAAAAGGAACACTCACTCACTGCTGGTGGAAATGCAAACTCTTGCAATCACTATGGAAAACAATGTGGAGAACCCTCAAAAAACTAAAAATGAACCTACCATTTGACCCAGTTACACCATTCCTTGGCATATACCCAAAGAACCCATCCTATCGCAGAGACACTTGTACATCCATGATTGTTGCTACTTTTTTCACAATAGCTAAGAGATGGAAGCAACCTAAGTGTCCTTCATCTGAAGAGTAGAAAATGAAAATGTGGTAATTTGCTCCTAGCCTGCACTCCCATCCTCAGACCTCTTGGGTGGAGTTTTACTCAGCAGTAAAGAAAGATGAAATCATGAAATTTGCAGGTAAATGGATGGAACTAGAAACTGTTATACTAAGTGAAGTAACACAGACTCTGAAAAAAAAGCTACATATGTTCTCCCTCATATGTGGATCCTAGAACCAGACTCTGATAAATGAGTATGTATCCAGACATAACTACAGGAACCAGGATAATGGAAAGGAAATAGGGAAGTAAAGGAAAAGAAAGAATCTGAAAGAGAAAAACAGTAGAAAACAGGCATAAATAAGGGAGATATGGACAAAAATGGGGTTATTTTAAGGGGGGAGGGAGGTTTATACAAGGAAACTTAAGGATAAAGGGAAAGAAGGAGCTCAAGAGAGGTGGGACCATAGGAGAAGGGTATTAGTAAGGGAGAAATGGGAAAAATGGGGGCACTTTAAATGGGGAAACCATGGTGGAATGGTTAAACAGTGAGAGAGACAAATAATGCCTAGTTAATTTTAAAAAAACCAGAGGGAACCACATTAATTGAATAATGTACTAAAAAAATTATATATACAACTAGCTCAAGGAATATAATACATGCCTAAGCAGGGGTTATCTGAGAATGTTTGGTCTTTGCCCAAGCTTTATCTACATAGCACATGATTATTAAAAGTACCAGACTGATGGAACTAACCTTCTTGGATGTTTAACAGACATACTTTGAGGCCTATACTAATTTGGCCAGAGGGACATAAAGGACAGTTTTGCTCCTTGCCCTCCTAGGTCGACTAAGCTCCAGGGGACTATGAGCATCTCTCAAAATGTCCTGTAACTGTGGTGCATCACCTGTCCTCTTGATCAAGGATGCTGTGGAGACCCCACAAAATGGACCTGAACCAGTGTCCAAGGAGGGTTAACACAGAGGAATAATTTCCTCCATGCTTCCAAGTGAAGACAACCATGGTTGAGCAGGACCTTTGACTTATTATCTTCAAATAGATGGAACTGG